GTTCCTCCTTTTTTCTTACGAGCAATGCTGTTTCATTGTAAATTGTGTATTTCTTTTATACCACGAAAAGCAAAAGCATCATATATGATGGTCTGCATGGATGGTGTTTACAGCCTACAAAAGTAAAGATAACAAATATGAACATCCGCCCGACCCTCATCTTAAAAAGATATTCAGCAACAACTTTGGTGTTCCTATACTTGGATATCTCGTGGTAACATGCGTCTCTAGTGCGAGGAAAAAGGGGGGGGGGGGGGGGGGGGGGGGTTGGTCGTGGGTTGATCCCCGACTTTGTCAAACCAACGACTTGAAAATATATATTTGCTGTTTCTCCTCTAAGTTAATAGTTTAAAAACGGATGATTGTTTTGCGTTAGGGACCAAACCATTTAACTTCAAAAAGGGGGAGTGGTAAGGGTTTTTTCCCGTGTCAAAATTTTTTTTTCGCACAAAGCACGAACATTTTCATTTAGTTTTTCGACGCTATCAATCAAATTATTTTTTCTAAATTTAATACTACAAGGTATGGGGAAAATCTGGATTCAAAATATTTTGTGTTTGTCATCTGCTTGACCAGAATATTTTTTTCATCAAATTGGGGATCAGAATATTTTTTTAGGAAAAACCCATAATCCCCCCCCCCCTCCTTTTGAAGTTAAATGGTTGGTCCCTAACGATTTTTAGAGTTAGTTCTTATGTTGTACTGTTACACCACTGTCCCAGGTTAGGGGGAGTGTTGGGATCCCGCTAACATGTTTAACCCCGCAACATTATGTATGTATGTTCCTGTCCCAAATCAGGAGCCTTTAATTCAGTGGTTGTCGTTTGTTGCAGTGTTACATATTTGTTTTTCGTTCATTTTTTTGTACATTAATTAGGTCGTTAGTTTTCTTGTTTGAATTATTTTACATTTGTCATTTCGGGGCTATGCGGTATGGGCTTTGCTCATTGTTGAAGGCCGTACGGTGTTCTATAGTCGTTGATTTCTGTGTCATTTTGGTCTCTTGTGAAGAGTTGTCTCATTGGTAATCATACCACATCTTTTTATAAGTTAAACAGCTATCCATCCGGGCATTTAGCTCTTTTAAAAAAGCCAACAAAACAACTCTCCCAAAAATAGCTTTTAAGTTGCATTTTGTAATAGTTTAATTTATAAGATATATCTTTTTTATTATTTGAATGGGGGCATCGGTGGCCAAGTGGTCTAAGTTGTCACTGTATCACTAGCCTGTAATCAAAATCCTGCGCGTGGTAGGTGCGGTGCGCTCGATTCCAATTTTTATTGACAAGAGTTGTCAGTTTGTTCTACCGAAGGTCTTTGGTTCTCTCTGGGCACTCCAGCTTCCTCTGCCAATAACGAATCACCGCCACGAAATAGCACAATATTATGGAAATTGCGTTAAATACCAATCAATCAATTAATTTTATTGTTATTGTTTGACTGAATTGGATAAACAGTTACAAGAAGGAAAAAAAATCACAAAATTAAACTTATGGACTCATCTACTTTGTTACTCCGCAATTGTTGAATGAAAAAAGAGTGTGGCTTTGTTTCACTACCATGTATGCCGTCATAACTCTTTTGTGTAAGGTTATAAAGCAATGATCATGATGAAATTAATATATAGTTTCGTTTACTTTATTTGATTTTTTAATACATTAATTAAGTTATCTTAGAAAAGGACAAATAAAATAAAAAGAAAATACAGAATATATCATTCAAAAACTAATTTAAAATTTTAATGTTTTTTCAAAATAATTTTTACCTGGAAAAGGTACATCTTCCGAAGTTATCACTTCTAAAACTTCCCTCGGGATTTTCATATGTAACGGATCTGGTAAATACAACATCTCCAGCAGAAATAGTAATAACCGTGAAAGCAGTTGCGATCGCATCATCAAAATGTTTCCAGTGTCAACGCCAATCACTCCTTGTTGGGCTGTATTTTTCGAAAGTTGAACAGTAATCTCACCTAGGGATCGACTTTATCCAGCGATGATTGTCTAGGGAAAAGGCATACGTCCCATCTGACGGTGCCGTGAATATACCGATATTTTTGTTGCAAACATTGCCTTTATTTGTTACGATTTTATCATATATCAGAGTTCGATCTTTTCCAAAATTATCTCTGTTGATATCGGATGAAAGATATGCCGGTCTTTTTAACTCTGAAACAAAATAATGCATTACCATAATGCAGTTCATCAAATGTAAACAGAATAGATTGCCAACATTATTTTTAGACTAACTCATATTCACTTGTTTATACACCATATTCTAAAAAAAAAGTTGACAGAGTTTGGACTTATCTGATAGTCCGGAGTGTGGGACTGGTCTTAACCGTAAGGCGTCAAACGCCCTCTTTGTACTATTGTAAGCATCAAATGAGCCTCAATATTTTAAGGTTAAATGGAGTAAAATATTTAACGTTATCGTTAATTTAAGAAAATGTTATTGCTAATCGGTACATAGGTTACCTCATTCCAATCTCAGTCAGGATTATATGTGGTCAACTAGTACAAGTGGAAAATGTTTGGTTCATATGGCAAGTTGACTTAAAACGGTATGTCCCGTATTGGGTATGATTTGTTTCTGACACTTTCAAACTGTACATATTGTTATATTTTACCGCAAATTTACCATCAAATTGTCTTTAACAGTCGTATTGGTATTCCATTCTCATTCGTAAAAAACAATTCTTATTTTATTACGTTATATTTCCTGACATTCTTTCTATATGCTCCTAAACTGAATTGACTAACCTGCACAGCGCGCGCGATCACTGCGACAAAGTTTAAAGTTCAAAGCTGAAACGAGGTGAGAAAAGAGAGAAAACCCGAAGGTAAAGAGATATGTAGTCAAAGGAAGTTAGGAGAGTTCGTAATGGATGTTATAAATATTGTATAACTATCACAAAAACTGATTTCGGTCAAATAAGTGTTGTAGTCGACTTCGTGTTGACAAAAAATTGTGACTGTGAATGACATTCAGGTTTATCATACAACCAAAATGTGACTTAGGACCAACAGATTCATCTATTAGTCTCAGATGTGTCGCATCTGCCAATGTGACGCAGTGGGTATCTTTATTCCAAATGAAATATAAGGCATGGTGAAAAGTAAGGTGGAAAACAACTGTCAGTGCTGTTTTTACTGAAAGAAATTTGTTCGCCTAGTTTTAAACAAGAAATTTCATTTTTGTATCGCCTGCTACGAAAAGTCGCAGAATGCGAGACATAGGGATTACTACCAGGCGGCGGCGTAAACTATTTGTATAAAGCTTTATATTTCAGAAGGTAGTAGACATGGATGCTTCATACCTTGTATGCAGATGCCTTAAATTATGTTACGAAGTTTCCGTCTGTTATATGTCCATTGTCCTTGTCCTCATTTTCATCATGTTCATGGTTCAGTGACTTACCCAAAAATGTAGAGTTTTGTGTCAGGTGAAATACTCACTTATTATGAGTAACAGGGTAACTTTATTTCATATATGGGATCCTTGCAAGGTCTACATGTCCGTCAGACAGGGTTCACCTGACCTCGACCTCATTTCATGGATCAGTGATCAAGGTTACGTTTTCATGGTCAAGTCCATATCTCAGATACAATAAGCAATAAGTCAACTTTATTTGGTGTATAGAATGACCTTGACCTTTTTTTCATGGTTCATTGGACAATGTTAAGATTTTCCGGTTTGGTCTATTTCTCAGATCCTGTAAGCAGTAGGGCCGTTTATATTTGATATATTGTCCGTTTATCAAATACTACATGTATAAGCAATATGTCAACTATATTTGGTGTATGAAATGATTGTAAGGTGTACATGTCTGTCTGGCCGGGTTCATCTGACCTTGACCTCATTTTCATTGTTCATTTGTCAATATTAAGTTTTCGTGGTTATGTCTGTTTTTCAAGATATTATAAGCAATAGGTCAACTATATTTGGTGTATTGATTGATCGCATGGTGTACATGTTTCATCTGACCTTGAACTCATTTTTATGGTTCATTGGTCAATGTTCAATTTTCGTACTTAAGTCTGTTTCCCAGAAACTATAAGCAGTAGGCTTACTATATTTGGTGTATGGTATGATTGTAAATTGTACATGTCTGTCTGACAGGGTTCATCTGACCTTGACCTCATTCACATGGATCATTGATAATGTTAAGTGTATGTGATATTTGTAGAAAAACCTTCATATTACAGACTTTCAACATAAATTGAATCATGATAAGTATATCAGGCGAGACAGTTCAGTGTGTGCACTTTGTGGCAATTTTCTGCCATTAACATTTACTACAAATGACATATTGTTTAACTAAGAATATTAATAATCTAAGCGGGAGCTTCAAATTAACTTATTATATATTTTTTATAAAGAGGGAGTAGGTAACCGTCCAGTAGTGTACTTTTTAAAAAAAAATTTGTATAATTATTTATAGCAGTTTGTCGTAAAATGGTAATTTTATTTCCTGTTCATCTGTGCATATACCCCTTCCTAACGACCTCCTTATCAATTAACAAACTAAAGGAAAAAACTCCTCAAGTTAGATTAACTGCAAGAGTTTGATCTAGGCTGTTTATCAATACAATTGGAGAATGCCGTGAACAAAAGTCTGAATATTTGAATGGTGGTAAATAAGAATTATTAAAAAAATCTTTTAAAAGAAAAGAGGACAATTTATAGTAAAACGGTACCAGTTTATTAATACTAGTATGCAATTTATTTAGAACATTACAACAATAACACAACAACAACAAAAGAAAAACAAATCCCAAAATATATCGGTTATCGATATATAAGAAACTATCAGCATTAAAGGACGCTAGGGGCTATCTTGAACTTAATTTTTATTGGAACTAACATGGATAAAACTAGAGGATTCCGAATATCTGACAAAAAGTCAAAAACAAGAGTAGCGAACATCCTTAAAGGTTTCTATGTTTAGACAACCAAAACATCCTCTGCATTGTGAATTACCATAAAAAAGACAAAAAATCTGAAAGATTTTTATTTATATTACTACTATAATTTTACATGTTATATTGTTTATAACCACTGAAAGTTGACCAACCCTGACCATACATGTACTGTCCTGTATGTCCATTTTGAATTCTGACGGATACTTTATCGTACTTTTTAATTTCAATTACAGCATTCTGACTTCCTGAGATGTGGTCTTGTACATTCCGTGACCCTGCGTGATTTCTGGCTATCAGGTTTCCGTTTACAGCGAGATAAGTGGGGAAGTAATAGCCTGCATGACTTAGACATGTCCAGGAAAAGATGTAGACACCATTTGAAGGAGCGGTAAAAATCCCAGTGGACGTATCGTATCCGTTGCCTAAATTTGTTATAGCTGTGTCGTATACTACAATATAATTTGCAGGAATGTTCTGTAAAGGACCTGCATTCTTAGCCATAAACGCAACTTTATTTGGTCCTGAAAGAAATTGAAAGTTCTATAATACTTTTATATAAGCTGAAAAATAAGAATTAAAAGCAACTCCAGAATATTGTAAAATATGGAATTATCTGCTTATATATATTTGTTTGCAAGTAGTGTAGTTACACATAAATACGTATCGTCCTGAATATATATGAACTATTTGCCGCTGGACGTTAAGGATGGTACAATCAATCCATCATATAAACTTATGTTAAATACCCGTGAAAAAGATGAGCTCACTTTTATTTTGGGCCCTTTCTCGTGATTGAAAATCGCAAAAAAAATTTCAAAGTTTATCTTTCAAAAATCTTTGTAATTAGCATTTTGTATCAATAATTTTAAGTCAAAAGAGCTCATATTGAGTGTTTACATTAAGATATTGGGAACTCTTTCGTATGAAAAACTAACGATTACGCCCCGCCCCCAGAAAAAGTGACTAAAAAGACATACGGTTTCCGACAATAAAAAAATTTCTTAGCAATAAGTCAAGTTCAAAATACTAACTTGAATGATTGTGTAGCTGCTTTTAATGAAGCGATCGATAGTAAGTGAAATATAACGACAGCATTAGTTAGGTTAAGTGAAGACAAGTTATGAATAACTTCCACAAATACATGTATGATATATATATATTAAAGACTACGAAAGAAAAAAGAGGAACAAAAATTCGTCACTATTTTCTGCAGAGTTTTTTGGTTTTATTTTTTCGTTCGTCTGGAATACGGATGACGTGCGATACGTGATGATTATTTTAATAAATAAATATCAAATCTATTAAGCACAAATTTTGCCCAATTGAAGGCCCATGACATGTACATGAGGCGGTTTCTTGCAATGCTCAAATTCTGCCCATTTCCAGAATATCTTTTTTTCCCAGACACAGTTCAAAATTTCTCGCCCTTTATACAGGTCGCAAAACATACTAATTTTTTATCTAAGAGCAAAACTTTATGATCAATTATAATGTTGAAAATGTACGACATCAATGCATTAGTTTTTTTCAACATGCCACTTTGATATATGGTTTACACATTTACTGATCTTTTAAAAGATAACAGAAAAGCAATATCAAAATTCGTTATTGAAAAAAATAACACTAGAAATTTTGTTAGATTGTTTTTAAATATGAAAAAGGAATTGGCGGTTATGAACATTTTCAACTAATATTTGTATGCGTAATAATCGTTTTAAGGTGTTTTTCCTATCTTAAGTGCAATACATATCTTACCTTTCGTACCAATCTCTGCTTTCAATGCTTTAATTTCTTTTTCCAGGCCATCAATTCTCGTTTGAAGGTCACCTTTTCTCGTTTGAAGGCCACCAATTCTCGTTTGAAGGCCATCAGTTCCTCGTTTGAATTCTGAAAAGAAATTTAGAACAGATTCTGTCGCCTGACATGGAACAGCTGCAAGAAAAAATACTATCAAAAATTGAACATTCATTCTGTCTTGTACTATTTCTACAAATGCACACTTTCTAGTGGCTTGTTATCAGGCTTTAAGTTTATATAAGGCTACTGCTATTTCCTGTTAATGTCCTTTACAACTAATATACATGTACATGCAAATGATTTATATCTACTTGTAATTTATAGTTAAAAATGAAAACCAGATAATATTTTATTGTTTTTTTATGTAGCAAATTTGTTATAAGATAATTTGTCATATTTTGTTGTTTTTGTTAAACAGAAATTAACCTCCACCAATTATGGGGATCTTGTGGGATCAACAGACTCCTTGCTGATTTTTTTAATGAAATTTTCCTCAAAATATGTTAGCAAGTATGTTATCAAATGTAGATATGGTTCTGAAGCTAAAGGCCACGTTTTGGTCCCTTGAATAACAAGATACATGTATTATAAATCTGTGACACATTATTTTTGTGTTAAATTTTATATTCAAAGCTATCTAATCATGTTGATTTCTATTACAGTTTATTAACGTGCACGTTTCGTGTGCACCAGGCATATTTAATATATTTCATACTAATGATCTCGAAATTCACAATGTATTTAAAATGTCCGAAATATTTGTTTACACTTGAATATGTTAGATTATAAATTTATATTTGTCAATACTTATGGTCAAGATTGAACTTAAATCTTACGGTTATTCAATATTTCTATTTGATCAATTATCTGTATGTTTAAGAAATACGCGTGTAAATAATTCTCTTTGATAACCGGAATCAATCCGTTTTCTAATTTCTGTTGATAAAATTACCATTAAAAACTTTGTTGTTAGCAACGTTATTTGGTATTTAAAGAAAGTTAAATTTTTATTCAGAGACTCCGTTTGGATATGCCAACGAGAGCACATGAACTGCGTTCGGATTTTCCAACGCAAGCAGATATATTGTTTTTGGTTAAAAATTACTGAATTTTAAAACTGTTTCATCTTATATTTGGACTCAATTAAAAGAATTTGGACTTTACCAATTCGTTTATGTTTATTGAATTGGACTGCCGACTTGGATGTGAATGAACTGTGATCTAGATTCCAATCCATTAACTAAAGCCCAATATTTCATATATTGGTACCGAAACATCTAACCTAAGTGTGTATCTTGTAGTACAATAACAGCCGACTACAGATACAAAAGCTAGTTTCCCAGCTTCAACACAATCCCACAGACGGGATCCCACTCAAAGCCATTTCGGCAATTTTTATCTGAAAACGTATAAACTCTTTCATGATAAATCTACAAATAACATTCTTCAGATGTTCGAAAGATACCCGTCTGTCAGATAGCAGTGACATATTGAACTTTGTCTTACTTCTATGCTGTAGGAAAATTTACTTTTCACGAGTATCGATGGCATTGACCTCATTATAAAACATGCAGACCAGTAATTGTAAGCTAGAATTTCAATCAAAGGGGAAGGGGAATATATAGGACCTGTTTTTTGGCCCGAGAAAATAAAGTTTTATTTAGCATTACTTCAAATTTACTCAAAACATAGGGAAATGCATAACATCAAGGAATATAAATGAATTAGACAAGATTTACAATGTATGACGTCAAAATGTGTGTATTTTTCACAAAAATGAAGAAAAATGTTGATTTTATGCAGGTTTTCATCCATGTTTTCTTTTCGAAAACATCGCCCACAGCTAAATAATAACAAAATAATTTCAGAGAAGCTATCTTAAAGCTATTTACATAAACCCTCCAATTATAAAGTTCTTATTTTTGGTATGCCCATACTTTTCCAATCCAAAATATACTCAAAAGTTGATACAAAACAAGGAAAATTACAAAATTTTAGAAAACAGTTTGCTGCCATGGATACGTTATGAGGGTTTGGATGGGGATCACTCATTTCTGTATTCCTTATTTTTTACACCTTTTTTCTCTATTCTTTATATTTTTTGCCCATTATTCTCTATTCTTTTTTTTTTTGGTCTATTCTTCTCTTTTCTTTATTTGCTTTTTGCCCATTATTCTCTATTATGTAAACCCCATGCAGACTTTCCATTATTGTAGCCAGACGTAGCGAGAATGGCCGAGTATTTACGATTGACGACTTGTTAGATAACCCTTAACAAGGTTATTATTGATCAATATTGCGGAGGGTGTCTGGAAACAAGCGGTGTATAACATCCGAAAGATAAAGTCACGTTCACCGGAGGATGCTGAACATGATACGCAATACTAATCCGTAGATGTAAGTCTTAATGACAACAGCTATTTTTTAACAAGGATGCACTTGTTTTGTTTTAATTTCCTGATGTACTAATAACAATTAAGAACATACAACCTTTTTTATGTTAGCTGAAAATTAAATTTATGCTAACGCATTCATTCGGCATTGACGGGAGAATCATGGGTCTACGTGGGTATCCATGTGTTTGTTCCCCGTTCGTAACATCATTATCAACAATTTCCCCCTTTGAACCACCGAGTCAGTTTTGATCTTTACGCGCTTAAAGTTCTTTTAAATCTTTCTTGACCTGAACATTGGGTAGTATATATAAATAAGAAGCAATTGTAAGTGCTGTAAAGTCGCCAACACTGAAAACACTTTCACCAGCACAGAAACAAAGTAGCGATACAACATCTATGTAACATCTAACTGTAAAACGGAAAATTGTAATTTTATTCTTATACTTGCGGAACTTGCAAGCTGGAATATGTAGGCGAAATAGGAACTAAATTCAATTATACTATAATAATACTACATTTATTTCCCGTGCCAGAGGGAGATATGAAGATTTGTTCACCCAAGAAAATTCATATTTCAGGAGGGCATCGCCCGAGGGAAATATGACTTTTCGAGGGTGAACAAATCTTAATACATCCCTATTACAAGGGAAATAAAATTGAAAATGGAAATGGGGAATATGTCAAAGAGACAACAACCCGACCAAAGAGCAGACAACAGCCGAAGGCCACCAATGGGTCTTCAACGCAGCGAGAAAATGAATGTTTTATTCCACTGCCTATACTTTTTTTTACTTCCTGAACATAAATATTAAATTATATATTGTTTTTCTTATCCGCTTGTTTAATAAATAAACACGACATAAACAATGATAATTAGTACCGATCAAAAGCTAATTATTTTTTTTGTTTTTTTTTGTCTACATCTGAATTAATTTTGAACAAGAAATTACTAAACTATCTGTAGTAAAAAAAAACGTTCAAAACGGTTATACACATTAATCACGCGTAACGTCGCACAAGGAGGTCCCGAAGTTCAGAGGGGAATATGATACTCAGAGGGGAATATGAAGTTTTGTTCAACGTCACGTGGAATAATCTCAACCAATCAAATGTTGGTTTCACTATCAATACTTACATGCAGTGGAATAAAAAAGAATAAGCGCCCTTGGTAAGATGGTAAGGGTATAGTTTGTTCGGTAACCAGCTGAAGCTAGTATCAGAGGGTCTGGATGGCCCCCATCCGTCATTTCTGTATTCTTTAATTTTTTAGGCCATTTTCTCAATTCTTTATATTTTTTGCCCATTATTCTCTATTCTTTATATTCTAGCACCTCATTATTCTCTATTCTCTATTTTGTCGTCCATTTTTCTCTATTCTTTATATTTTTGGCCCAGTATTCTCTATTCTGTAAACCCCCATCCACACCCTCGTATCAGACTTTTTAACTTCCTCTTTATAGATAACGTCATCTTTGTGAATAGTTTAAAGTTTGATGACTATGTTTATCGCATCTGTTCCACAATAAGTGAAATATAACATAAACATACTGATATACTTCTACATAGCAGGAATCCAGTATAAAGGTTATTCCGTTACGTGTACGCTCCAAATTCGGATAATAGTGCATTGAAATTGAGTTTTGAGGAAGGTGTTGTTTTATTTCTGTTCTATTGCATTATTCGCTTGCCTTCTTCGTTTTTCCTCTATAACTTCCTCCAATAGCTGGAGTACACCAACCTTACTATGTAAAAGTTGGTGAGACCTTAAATTAACATGCTAGTAAAAAACATTATATACAGTGTAATCCCTGCAAAATAACTTCTATGTACATTAAAATCTGGGTCTCAGTTTAAAAGTTATTGATAGAGTTTAAATACTATTTACAGGGCATGCCTGAGTGTAAAAAAATCTTTACATTCAATAAAGTTTTGTACTAAAAAATAGAAATTAACATCCAGCCTGCCGGTGCTATTACATCTATCTATAAGCATTACCAAGTGATTTATAAAATCATGCATATAAGCTTATGTGTCATAAGCGATCTCATTATCATTTGATTATGCTTAGCCATTGATCTATCTGATATATATTAAAGCTACTGGATATCAAAGCTAAAAGTAGATCTGTACTATGATTTCCATCATCAAGTATAGCGCGGAACAATCACACTGACCTGATATTTTAATTTTGTTGTTTTATATTTCAAAGATTTTCCCAGCATTTAATTATGTGACATGGATTGATAATATAAATGGATTACAGCAAATCAACATGGCGGCTCACTATTTAGACATGCCAACGTTAACAAGATGTTTGGATTGGAAGGAAACAACATAATCCATTTGAGAGCATTACAACCGAAATAACCTAACCAGCGAAGAAAACGATAGTGTAAGGTTAGTTTAGCATGAGGCATAGCCGCAACCTTGATTCAATACAAAACATGTCTACGTCGTCGTCCTTTGGAACCTGCTGGATAGTTGTCTCATTGGAAATCATACCACATCTCATTAAATAGTACAGTTGCAAAAATCCTCTGTCGTCCTTTGGTACCTAGTAAATAGTTGTCTCATTCGAAATCATTCCACATCTCTTTAAAATAGTCCAGTTATAATAATCCTCTGTTGTCCTTTGGTACCTAGTGAATAGTTGTCTCATTCGAAATCATACCACATCTCTTTAAAATAGTCCAGTTGTAAAATTCCTCTACGAGATACTTACATTACTACTTTTTTTTCTTTTATGTCCTTTCTGGTAATATTCCTGTTCATTTTTTTCAGTTTTCATACAACCCTGGCTTTCAAATATTCGGCTTTGAGCATTCCTGATGACGGAAAATCAAGAAAAGCGCTTCGGACGCATACAA